TGCCTTTAATATTAATCCAATCCCTCATTAAATAATGTACATCATCAAAATTAATTTTATAGACAAGCCCAACTTTTTTAAATTTTTTTCAATAATTAATTTTTTTTAATTTCCACTTCTCATCATTTTATATAAAATTAATACCAAAATAAAATTTTTTAAAAATTCTCTGATGCAGAAAACTTTAATGGCAAAACCTTTACAGCGTCACGGAAGCAACTAAAAAAAATAAAAATAACAAACAATAATTTATATATGCATTTTAAATTAATTTTTGTCATTGTCTTTTAAATAATAATAAAATTTTTCTTTAAATTGTTTGGCATTTCCTTCTCCTCTTTCCTACTTTTCTGTTTATTCTTCTTCATATCCTTCGGAAAATTTTTTATCCCTCCTCAAAGTTTGGAAGATACATTAATTTCAATTTACATAAATTTTTGCCAAAAATGGGATGATATTTAGTATGCGAGAATAAATAATTTTTTATAAAAAATATATAAATAGTAGACTTTAAACTTGCTAAATTTGAAGTAAAAAGAAGATTAATTAGCTAATTCCAAATAAATTCAAATATAAATTATGTACATATAACCCTTTTTTAATTTTTGATCTTTTTATTTTTAGTCAATTTGTCCAACAAAATTTCCAGGTTTTTTGGGCCTCACATAAAAACCTAACATATAAAAAATTTGTTAGAAAAAATAATTTTCCTCACAGCCCTCCTCCTATATCCATTTATATCCCATCATATCCTTCGTAATTCCTCCGAATTGAGTCCACGATTCTCTCCAAACTATCCCTTCAACTTCTTATATCACAAAATAGATACGACACTAGCTCTCGCGTATTTTTACACATTATTATTAATTTTTGTTTAATATTTTTCAATGGAAAAATATTGAGGCCCGGAAAGACTCGGCACGGAAAAGACTCGGTCGGGCCGGCGAAAAAAATGAGGCCTAAAAAGAATGACTCGAACGTGGCCCGACTCGAAAACCCCAACCCTAATCCAGGGTAATTATTCGAGCATTAAAAAGGAACAATTTGCATTATTTTTTTGTTTCTTCTATTTAATGATAATTTTTACAGTTTTTTATATTCAATCCTAAAAGTCTTGGCATTAAAAATAATTTTTAAAATGACAAATCAAAGGATATCTTGTACACAAACACTATTGGTTCTTCATTGCCTTTCTTTTCTTTTATTCTACGCAAACTCTCAACCTATAATGTTTGCCGGTTAGTAATTAAATATTTAATTTGTTGAATAATGAGATAAAATTATTTTTCATGGAAATTTATTTTAATTTTGATTGAGTTTTTGCCATTAACTTAAAAATCTAAGAAGGGAAGTATATTTCCCAGATAATTTCCAAATTATCCCTTAAAGAATTTATTTAAAAATTCCCGGTAATATCCTATGACTTTCCAAGCCTACATGTATTCTGAAGAAAGAGTCAAGTTTTAGGAGATCTCGAACAAAAATTTCAGTTATCAAGTGCTTATTTTTCCGAAATTCCGATCCGGATTCTCATACTACACTTCCAGTTACTCTCTTGTTTTAACTGCGAAATTTTTATGATTTTTTACCAATACATATTTAATTTAGCTCCAACATTTGTTAAAATGAGCAATGGTGTTATTTGGCCTTCTTTATTGTTGCGTCCTACAGATGTGGATACTGAAAATATTTTTAGGTGAATTCTAAATTTTTCTCGTTATTTTTCATATTTTTTTCCATTTTTCTAGTCAAAATCCACAAGAATTTGTAAAAGTTGCAACACCAAGAAAAAGAGCAATTATGCGATTGGGGAAACGTGCATTGATGAGATTGGGGAAAAAATAAAAGATAAAAGGATAATTAAATGACCCCAATTTAGAAAAATCGCAAAAAGCGGTTTTTTATAAATATATTTTTCTTGTATTTTTTATATCAAATGTGTTTAACGTCACATATCCTCAATAAATTTTATGCAGGAGAATAAATGCCATATGCCTGTTTTTTTTAAATTTTATTTCCAAAATAAAAAAATTCTTAGGAAATATATAATGTGCGATAGTGGCAGGCGCCGGAACGAATTCGTCAGATTTTTCGAATTTTTACTTCTATTTATTTTAAAATATGTATTATTTATTATTCTTATTTTACGGAGTACGCCCCAAATATGCATTTTTGCGATTTGGATTTTTTATCTTTTAATCAGATTAAAGCATAAAAATCCGAACGAATCCGGAAATCCGAACGAATCCGGAAATTGCCTTGCATTCTTAATAGATAACAAAATCAGATTAATGTGCCATTAGAGTGCCAATTATTTGGGGCAATAAACAGAAAGATAAAACATAAATATTTAATTTTTTTTCAAATTTTAGCGTTTCTAATTAATTATGCATTTTCATTATTTAACATTAATATTCTATTTTGTTACCTTATTATTTAGCTTCACTGATTCAGCTATAAATTCTAAAGGTTTTTAATTATCTAAAAATAGAATTCAAAGCAAAGATCTAGCTCTAGTACTCAAGCAAGATTGCTATTTTGTTTGATGAAGAGTTGTGTCAGCACATTCCCTAATACTCGTTACCAGTGCTTGGAAGTTTCAGATCCAAGCCAGGGCTGCACGCAAGCCATTTAAAAGGCTGAATCTTTTTTTCAATTGTGTGCAGCCCTTATCCAAGCCTGCTTATTATTCAACTAATCTTTAGTTTTCTTCAATTTTGAGAATATTTTTTTTCAAAAATTATTTTTTAGAATCGACCAATTCTCTCGCCAGTTGTTTCAATCAATCTTTACACAAAGCCCTTTCTAATGCCGATCCAACAGCAGAGTTTTTCAATTCTTCACCTCTAGACTGCCTCCAATTTTGTTATAAAATACAAAGTTGCCATATAATGGTTTATCACAAACACTTTTCTAGCTGCCAATTATATTCTCAAATTGTTGGAAATGGGGCTAGAGAAGTGTTAGCTAATGGACATGATCTTTACAAACGAAAAGAATTTTGTGGGTTACAAGAAGAAGAAAATTCTGAAGAAAAAGAAAATTAAATCCGAAGAAAATCAAATATCAGACCTTTGTAGTGTTATTTCTCTTCGGCATAAAAAATAAATTTTTAATTAATGTGCGAGTGATATGCATGTACATATGTAAGTGTCAAGGTAGTAGTGATCTTCGAGATTCTTAGTTCTTGAGTGGGAAATTTCCAGTTGTTTTGAGTTCTCGGTCTCGGTGTTCTAGTCTTGGAAAATTCTGAAGAAAAATACACAGGTTCTTGATGTTATATTGACAGGTTCTGTAAATCTAGGGGTCATTATTGAATTCGGTTGTACATATTCCGCCTTAAAAGTACAAAATTTGTCAGAGCCTTGCTCCGACATACAAAAATATGTAAAATATTCGCGATGAATGTTCGTGATTCACAATAATACGTATCTATATATAACTTAATTTGAAATAAATAAATTATATTAAGTAAAATTCGCTCAGCTTTTAGCCTATGATTCCTTTTTATGACCACAATCAATTTTGAATATTTAGTAATTGTTATTTAAACTTTATGCTTTTTGTTGTTAAATGATTATTACTTATTATTCCGCCTTTTTTAATATCCTATAATAAACAAGGATTTACTTATTTATAAAGGCTTTCCAAAAGACATTAAATTGAAGGTTCCGTGACGAAGAGTTGCGGATATTCGAAGACACTATAGGGAGTTAGATAATGTCTCAATTTTTTAATTTAGAATCAGTTTAATAAATTCTAAAATTTTAATTTAATTTCTAGTACTTAACAAAAAAAATCAAAAAATTAAATATTAACGGATGGATAAACTTTCTTTCCTCCCTTTAATACATATATCCACCAATATCATTCTCACAATCAAATCAATCATTCAATCACTCCGACAAAACATTAAACACACAAAGCTTGTATAGACTCTCGGTTAATTTAGTTAGCTTGACCCAAAAAAGAATATAAACTAGCAACATGTTTTTTTTGTTTGATTAGCCGGTCGAAGCTTTATTTTCCCGCATCTTTTCTCTCATCTTGAATGAAAAAATAAGAATTATTTTGATGAAATTTTATATTTATTTTGGTATTATTTTTGCAATAGTTTCAACAACTCTTGGCTTTCAATGTAAGCTAATTAAACAAAAAAAATATTTTCATTATTTTCACGAATTTGAAAGAGTTGCTTTTCCTTTTTGCTATGAGTTCGAGAAAACAGATTTTGTGTTCTCTTATAATTTACGTTATCCAAAAGCAAAATCATTGGGGAATATACCTTGCCGACTGAAATCAAAACCAGATTGATTCGATGATCTTAGACAAAATTACGAACAAATAAATTTTTGATAACATAACATTTTTGTTTATATAATACAAGTGGCGGGCCAAAATTTAAGGCTGAAAATTGTGAAAAAAAATAGTCACCCGCGAGACGCATGTCACAAAGTCTAGAGCAAAACTTGTAGTTTTGCACACCTCTATCTATATGATATATAATAGTTTTAGCATAACAGACATCTTTTTAACACAAAAATACAAGTAATAATTTAAGATTACATTATAATTTACCGCCAAATTTACTTAATATTTCTTAGCTTGTTATAAATTAGTTAAATATATTTGCGGTATATAATCAAGTATGTAGTTGCATCAAAGAAATTGACTCGCAAAGAATATATTTTTGAATGCCGGTATATTCACCGGCAAAATATTTTTAACACCATAAATTATTTTAACCAAAATTAAAAATTGAGATAAAAACAGCTTTGTAAATAAAAATTAAGATGAAATCATTAAAGATCGAGATTTTTGAAAAGCCTGTACCTGTTCCTCGACTTCGGAGTTTGATTCGTGACCTGTACTGGATCCTGGACCTGTAGTCCAGGAAAAACCCAGGAAGGTCAAAAAATGCCTGGACCTGGACTCTGGGTACAGGAAAAACCCAGTCCTTGGTCCAGGTCCAGCTCGATCTCTAGAAATCAGGTCAATAAATGTGTTTTCGTAAAAACAGTTTTTACAGCTTGATTCAATATGAGAGTACATTATTCTGAATATTTTTTGATTTTTTTTTTGAATTTTATGTAGATTAGTTCAGACTATGAGAATCTAGATATTCTCGTTAACCGGAATTTTTGTTCAAGATCTCGTCTCCCTTTCGGTCCTTAGTTCGACTATGGGACAGAGCATCGAATTAAAATTTAAAAAATATTTCAGATGCTCGTTGCTTCCAAAAATTGGAGAGGCATTCAATTGATAATTCTCAACCTTTAACTGAAATATTCCGGACACACCCATTAGATTGTTTGTCTCAATGTGTTGCCCATACAGGAAATGGGGACGAACAAAAAAATGTTTGTACATAATTTTTTAAAAATTATTTTGTAAAATTTAAGCCAGGATTATGCCGTTCAGTTGTTTACGATCATTTACAACATAGTTGCCGTTTATATTCTCATGATGGAAGAGAAGTAGAAGAAATTTTAAAAATTAAATTTTGGAAGAAAAAATTATTTTTCAAAGGTCCCAGCTATTTTACATCCCGCAAACGGCTTTGACCTTTATAGGAGAACAGCTAGCACACAAGAATGTGCAGGTTTACTAAAATTTGAGAAGAATAAATAGAAGTTTAAAATTATTTAGGACCTTTACAACGACTTAGAGCGTCATTACAAGCTAAGAAAAAAGTTTTGGCTGCCCCGAGCCTTCCAAAGGAAGTGGATGAACCACCAATTTTGGAACCAACAACACAGCTTACTACTCAACCAGTTCAGGAAGAGTAAATTAATTTTTATTTACTTAACTTTAAATAAGTGTCTGTATCAGTGCTGGTTATTAGGCATTTGTTGGCTCCGGCTCCTCCGGGCTTTCAAAAAAGGAAAATCAATGAATAATAGTATTCCGGGAATTTAAGCGGATCAAGGGGGATATCGAGTGATATCAGGATCTGGATATACAGAATTTTCGGTTCCAACTATCCGACAACCTTATTTTACCGAATGTAAAATATTATTTAAGGCAAGCCAAAGAATTAATAATTTTTTTAATACTAAATATGTAGTCTAATATAATATTTATTAAGAGAAAAGGCACTAGAAGGGCACGAATTAGCTTCATTACTTGATCAACTTGATGTTAGTGGATATGTTTCTAATGAACTTGATTGTATAGCTAAAGACAAACCAACAGGCTTTTTTGTATTTCCGGCTGGCCAAAGAGAAGATGAAAGGGTTGAAGAATTTCCAGGATGGTCCCAACGGGAATGTGCAAATTTTTGCGTAGAAAACGAAGTTTATAAAGATGACCTGAATTTTAATAATAATTTTTTAATAAAGGGGCCCGATGGCCTAAAATATAATTGTGCTGGATTTAGCCATGTTTTGGGGGGAGGAAAGTGTTATTTACACAGAGAAGCATCTGGTATAGAGATGAAGCTTCAGCAAGTAGATGGAGGGCTTTATGCTGAAAAATGGTGTATTCCTGGTATTTTAAGAGAATTTATTTTATATTTTGAAAAAAAAATTTTTAAAAATCAGCACATCGGTTTGGAGCTTGTCGGGAAGCAACTCCTTTCGATGTTCGACTACAACAACGTTTCCAACCAAGATGTATACCGATTGGGGTATTTGACGGTATACAAAACTTGTCAGAATGTATGGGGCTTTGTTTAAATCAAGCAGAATGCCATGTTTGATGTCCACAAGACCTCCGAAAATTATTTGATATTTTAGACAATTTCATTCCACACTCCAACAGGTCAATGTCTCCTTCACAGAGAATATTTATTACCCATTTATATGGAACAAACAGACGTTGACTGGACATTAGCAGCAAATGGGTGTGTTGAAAAGAAGGGGCAAAAAGTTCCAGTGGTGGACAATGAGGAGGGGGAAATGGAACAAAAAACGAAGAATTACAAGTTACTTTCGGGAGGATTTGGACAACAAAGGATTGAGTTAGCAAATATTAACAACAAAAAAGAATTTTTTAAATCAACTGGATGTGGAGACGGAAATTTGTTTTTTAATAAATTATTTAATTTTGCCCGCCAGAAAAGAAAAGTAATTTAGAAGAAATACAGTTAATTAAAGTATGTACCTAGCTATTTAGTTTAAAAATTTAGTATAAAAATTTTGTAGATAAAATGGGTCTAAGAATAAAAATAATAAAGTGCTTGAGGGATTGAGAGGTGAGGGAAAGGTTCAGAGAGAAGGTTCCTTAGGAATCGCTCCAAAGCTTTCACGATACTTAACGCTTCCTTAAATTCCTTCTCTTTCAATAAAGTTAATTTCGTTATAGGAGACTTTTTATTAACGCTTAGAGACTGTGAGGGTCGTATCCAAACTTAATTCACTGGTGTTGTGAATTACAAAGAATTGTGGAGTTAATTAAATCCCAATTTAAAATTACAATTTAAAAAACAAAAGTGTAAATTTTACACAAAATGAAAAGACAATAACTTGGTTAATTGTAAAGTAAATATATACAAGAATTTACATAAGTGAGGATTATATAAATCGGTTGTTTGGTTTGTTACTTACGCATCGTTGAAGGGAGTAAATCTTTTTAGATATACATCGTATGTAAATACAAGGGAATATGTACAATGAACTTCAGGTTTTACTTCTTTCCTCTCTCAATGATATCAAATCATTTGGGTCCATTAGAAGTTGGACTCGTTGAAGCAGGCGAGGTGGAACCAGTGGATGAACCATCGCACTTGACACCTAAATAATTTTAAAGGTGAGGAGAATTTAAATTCCATTCACTCACCGTTATCCTGCCCTAAAAGATGTTTCTTAACCAAACTTCCAGATGTAGTCAAACGCTCGTCGACACCAAGCTGAGAAGCTTGAGTGCCTGGCTTTAAAGCTGCAGCCCCTTCATCCTTGTTTTCAATGGCCCAGTTTACGTAGGAAATATTGTTTTCGTCCAAGAATTTCCACCACTCCTTTGTCGAACCTTCATCCACAGCTCCATTTCCATCAGCATTTACAGTACCATACTCGGACACAAAAATACAGGTATCCTAGAATGGAATATATCGTGAAAATTCTATGGAGGAATTTTAGTCAGTGAAGGGCAGTGCTGGGTTTTTGCATTTGTTGGCTCCGGCTCCGGCTCCGGAGCCGGGCTCCGGAGCTAGCTTCCGGAGCCATACCCAGCAGTGGTGAAGGGTGAAATGTTTCGCTAATCGAGTTTCATTAAGTTGAGGGTTCATTATATCGAGAGTTGTCTTTATTTTATAGGGCAAAATTTTATTTAAGTGGCTAATAAAATAATCACTTACATTAGCAAGTGCAGTTGAAGCTCTCGCACGTAATTCCCCTTTGTGACTAGCAGCGTAGAAATGAAGAACATAACAAAGATTCTTTCCAGTAAGCTTATCCTTAGAAGCAGTGTCAACACCTTGGGACCAAGTTGGAGTGCCAATAAGGATCAAATTGTCGGGATCAATTGCACGGATGGCATCGACAATTTTTTGTTGATAAACCTTCATTGCGGGCCAATCACTGTCACCACCAGTTGGTTCGTTAAAAAGCTCATAGATTATGTTTTTGTTGCCTTTACCATAAGTTTTTGCAATGTATTCGAAGAATTCTTTCTGTTTAATGAATTACAGTATTTATTTTTACGGCTATTCGATCTTTACTGGTCGGTCTAGATAGACTATTTATTACCTATCTGATTTTCATTCAAAACCGGGTCTCGGGATCTGAAAAATCGGGATCCGGATTCAAAAAACCAGGGCTGGGATACCGACCACGCTGAACTCTGCTATCAATTATTTTGAATTTAACCTCCAAAATATCAACAAACTAGTACCTCTTTGACTTCCTGACTCAGAGCATTATGTGTGTGCCAATCAACTATCACATAAATTCCCACTTCGATAGCTGCTTTTATCACCTTTTCAACTCGTCCTTTCTGGGTTTGTTCTGGTTCTGGGCCCTGCATATAAGCTTCAGCACCCTCATCTATCCCCATGGCAGCTCGAACAACATTAGAATTCCATTGGCATTTCAATGCTTTGACAACTTCTTCGGTATAGAAAGGGAGACCTGGTTCATAGTTTGACTGGAATAGAGACATTCCATGAAGGGCAGCAGGCTTCCCATTACCCAGCAATTTCTTGCCTGTTAAAAATCTTTTTCAGAGTTTAATTATTAAAACTACCTTCAACACTCAACTGTCCCTGAGGGGGATCAACAGCAAAAACATTACAAAATTTAAATGAAAGGAGAACCAATGCAAGAAAGGTTTTCATATTTTGACTTTTGGAATGTTTAGGCGGTTTTGGCTTTGACTGACGGTTTTGAGACTTTTTCTGAGGGTTTTTGACTTTTTAATAAACTACATTATGCCTTTTGACTGCTCCCTTTATAAAGGCCAGCATTTTCCATCTCCTCCCATTCCCTCGAATGTCTACATGTGAATGTCTAAGCATGACCTTAGACAAAGAAATTTTTTCAGACATGCCCAAAATCAGATGTTTCCTTTGTCTAAAATTCTATTCCCCCTCTCTCTCCCTTCGAAGACAATGAAAAAAAAATTTTTTTATAGCCGGCCAAAAATCATTGCCCTTTAAGGCATGACTTTTGGCAGTGACTTCTCGCATGACTCAAAATCAGCTGCCCTTCATTGTTTATGGCCAAAGGCATAATTAAAATTTTAAAGTCCAAAAATTAATTTTTAAAATAATTTTTAAATAATTTTAAATTTATTAATATTTTTTAAAACAAAACTTTAGGTAGGGGGTTGATTGTCGACAGGTTAGGGAGAAGCGGGAATTGATGGTAGCGAAATGCTGTATATTATCAATCATTACCAAAATATTTTTATTAAAATTATTTTTTAATTTTAAATTAGGTATTTACCCACCTTATTTGAGTTTCAGTTTAATTTATCCGATTTATTATCAATCATTTATTTCTTTCAAACATTATACCGTATTTACTGAAATAATTACCCGTGGTAATTATTGTTTCGACCTCTCGCTGGAGGGGGTAATTAATAGGGAGTGGGTAATTATTTGAGAGAGGGTAATTATTTGAGTAAATACGGTAAGTTAGAATGTTGGCATGTAACGTTATTCCATGCAAAACCTCATAAAAAATTTTTTTTTTAAATTTTAAAAATTGTTTTCGGATAACAATCTTTAATCTCTTACAACTCTCTTCAGTTTACTAAAAACAGCATTGAAGCTTATAATGGGTGTATATAAATAGAAGGTATCGCTTAGGTGTCCCCCTCCTACTGGTCAGGATCGTCTATTTTTAATTAACTGATTATGATTTATTTTTTATAAATAAGTTAAAAAAAAATTTCTATTGACTGAAACTTAACATTCCATTTTAGAAAAATGCCGATTAAATACCTCCTAACTTCATTTTACTTAAAATGTTTAAACTAAGCTTAAACTTAGGTTTTTATTTTATACTCGAAATTTATTTTTGATATTAAAAAAAACGAAAAAACAAGTCAAAATTTCCACTGAATTCCTATAATTCTAAAAATTTTCGCCTGCGGCGCAGAAAATGGAAGAAATCTGGCTACTTGGCCTTTGAAAATTCTTAAAATTTTCGCCTGCGGCGCAGAGAGGTTTGCAGGATATCGGAAAAAGCTAAGCCTGTGTGACCTCTTTTTTCTTACATCCCAGCACTGTATTTTTCTATTTGCCTTAGGCAATTCACTGTAGGCAATAGATGAATCCCCCTCCGAATCCCTCAACTTAAATAATTCACTCAAATATCCGATATCTTCTAATTCTCTTATATAACCAGTGCTGTGTATGGCACCGCGAGCTGGCACTGGAGCCCGGATTCGTCGGAGCCGAAGCCAGAGCCAAGATTTCAAAAGCTCGGAGCCGGAGTCAATTAATGGCCAATACCCACACTGTATTTTCACTTGAGGCTCTAAAAAATACTCGCTTCCCTTATTTTTTCTTTTAAATGTATACGGGATACTTAATACTTTGTAACTTTAATCGTAATTTTTTACTCTATGTTTACTCGTTAAAGTAAGATAAAAATTATTTAGAAATTACTTGAGTGCCGTTTCTTACTTTGTTTATTTCTTTAGGATTTTCTCTCAACTTCTATTTGAGGTTTCTTTTTAAATTATTTTAAGCTTAATTTAACTCAAATATGTAGTAAATACAATCTTTTTAGGGCTTTCAGGGCTCCGATTTCGAATTTAAAAACCGCATAAAGTGATTTTACTTTAATTTTAAAAAATTAATGAAAACAAACAAATATTTATCGGTTATCAAAAGGGCGGTGATTGAAAATTTTTAAAAAATGTTTAGATAAAAGGGGAAACAATTGTTTGTGAGGGGATATTTTGGAGTAAAGAAACTTTTAAAAAAGAATTTACAATCAAGAAAACGAATATTTAAAACAAATTGATAAGAAAGGTTTAAATTATGTTTTTAGGTGAATTGGTAAAATATGTAGGTAAAGCATGTACGTATGTAGGTAAAGCAGGCTGTGCACACATCATTCATGTCTACTGAAGATGCTGGTTCGCTTCCAGTCGCCTAATAACCTATAACACTAGCTGAAGGAGAGAAATAGCTATAGTCCAGCTGCTTTACTGGTAGCCCCGGATGGTACTTAAAAATGAACAAAAAATCAGAATAGAGCACCCAACAGAAATAATTCTTAAACAATCACGGATTGTATTTAACTAAAGCTTTTGCATCAGCATCTTCAAACTTAATTCCGCAAAAATCAAGCGTTATATCTGCAAGTTTTTCTGCATAACGTTGGCAAAATCCTTGAAGCAATTGATGATATTCTTTTTTATACAATTTTTTGATGCTTCCACAAAATTCTTTGGCATATAATACATGTAAAATTCCATTATCAATAGCTTTGTTTACAAATTCAAGCTGCGTTACTTCCTTAAATTAATAATAGTGTAAGACCCTAAACAGAAGCATAGATTTATGTGAAATGTTAGGCCATTATGATAACTTTAGGACGGATAACGGCTCTTGTCCAGTTTATGCGTCCCATGAAAGTATATGCGTCCCATCAACAAAAAATTGGATATTTCTTGGTGTTGCAAAGTAGGGGTATGGTTCCAAAGCATTTCTTCATGTTCGGTACCTCGCCCACTGGGTCTGGGACCGTTCCTTACACTATCCTTCGAAATTTCTGAAAGTTAAAATCGTTTTTCTGAAATTTTTAAAAATTGGCTATAACTTTCAGAAATTTCGAAGGATAGTGTAAGGAACGGTCCCAGACCCAGTGGGCGAGGTACCGAACATGAAGAAATGCTTTGGAACCATACCCCTACTTTGCAACACCAAGAAATATCCAATTTTTTGTTGATGGGACGCATATACTTTCATGGGACGCATAAACTGGACAAGAGCCCGGATAACTTTCTTGCTTCCTGACTTTTTTGATTTGAAAAACATATGTAATAAAATTAAGGGAATACCAGCTTAAAAATCGTTTAATATAATGTCCCCCTTAGCATTAAAGCAGTTGAACGTAGTGAACGTACTGCCTTAGATTTAAATGATCAAAGTCTGGATATCTTTATCGTATTTTTAAAAATCTGGCCTAACTTTCAGTATATTATTCATTTACGTTTTCCGCACTTGCAAATAAACATGAATAAAAATAACCCTCATCGGTTTAGATTAGGGTTGCGCCCCGACCCCGACTAACCCCGACCCCGACCCCGAACCCCGACATTTTTTGACCTAAAACCCCGACCCCGACCCCGACATTCCCAACCCCGAAAACCCCGACCCCCGAAAGTTCGACCCCGACGACCCCGAACCCCGAAAAATTTTTATGCCCCCGACTCAAACTGCATTAATTAACAAGAGATCGGAACGGGATCGGGACTTTGATGTTAAATATATGAAGGAAAAGGGAAAGGAATATTTATATTTTCTCCTATTTCCTTTTGTTGGTCGGTGGTTGTGAGGTTAGGTTAACTGACTTCACCCATTTAGCTATTTTGATAGGGATGTTGTTCGAATCCATGGATGGGAATGAGGCTGAGAAGATTTTTCTTCTCAAAAATAAATATTTTTAAACTTTGATCTTGATTTTAAATTTGCAACTTTATTTTTTTTTTAATATTTTAAACTTGAAACAATATTAGAAATATTAAACTAGTCATGAATTTTCCAAAATTTTTGCCTGCGGCGCAGAAAATGGAAGAAATCTGGCTCTTGACCTTCCAAATTTCTCAAAATTTTTGCCTGCGGCGCAGAAAATGGAAGAAATCTGGCTCTTGACCTTCCAAAATTCTCAAAGTTTTTGCCTGCGGCGCTAGACTCAATGAATGGATACAGAGGCTTTAGGACAATCCCTTTACATAAGAGGGGGAGTAAGAGTTATTTTGTGGGTTTGGGGATTTTCGGGATTATAAAGGATAACTTGGATAAAGTACTTCTTGCGCCTTCAACTAATAAGGAAATAGATACAGAAAGTGAAGATAATGAAGATTAAGTTCATTTTTGGGTATTGTGACTTATAGGGGGTTTTTTTTGGCTGGACCGATTTGGACAAATGAGGTGTCATTCGAAAGAGCTCGCCGAGCTGAGTCAATCAGGGACCGAGATACAGACCCCTGAAGTTTGAAAAAGAGAAGGGGGGTCGAATGAGCTATTATTTGCATTTTCGAATTTTTCACCCCAAAGTGAGCTTACTCCCCCCTTCTCTTTTTCAAACTTCAGGGGTCTGTATCTCGGTCCCTGATTGTCGGATCGGCTCCACTCGCCCCTCAATCGACTCAGCTCGGCGAGCTCTTTCGAATGACACCTCATTTGACCAAATCGGTCCAGCCAAAAAAAACCCCTATAAGTCACAACATTCTCATTTTTTAATGAAAATGTTGATTTTGAACAGTAATGTTGGATAAAAATGCTGGATTTTGTAAATTTTTACTTCAACCCCGACCCCCGACCCCGACCCCGAACCCCGACATCATTTTCAGCCCCGACCCCGACCCCGAACAATTTGAGCAACCCCGACCCCGACTTTGTCAACCCCGAAAACCCCGACCCCCGACTTTTTCAACCCCGAAGGCTCGGGGCGCAACCCTAGTTTAGATGATAGCACAGTCGGTTGTGCTTCTGTCTATCTCATTCCGTGATAGGCACGGTCTACAGGATTCGATTAAACACAAAACGATCATTTTTTAATTACAAAACGTACGTTCTCAAATTCAGTCATTTCATTGTCATCATAGTTATTGAAGAAATGCCTCTTATCTTCTAATTTTCTCACCAATTCACTT